TTTTCAGGCAAACCATGGAACTATAAATCTGGTTTATTAAATATCTATGACACCTACTGTATAATCTAATTGGCAGATTCAGTCCTGCCTTTAATATCATTTATCCATGTCAGTCTTACTTTCTGGTAACATTATTTTATTTTTCCAATTCAACCAAACATGCTAATAAGCATTTCAAGGACTCTTGTAAATGCCACCGGAGAAAAATTATGGAAACCATCATGTGGGATAGATAATAAAATCAGTCAAGTTAAGATTAAAATGATGCAGCACTAATGTAATTTATCCACTTTATAATGTTATAAAAATAAGGTCATAAATCAACATGCAGTTTCTCTTTAGTGAATTCATAATAGAGCAATGTGGTATATATGCAAAAGGACAGCTATAAAATAAACCCAGCAAGTGCAGATGCAGGCACATACCAAACATTGTTTTTCTGTTTGGGAGAATAATTAAACAAGTGAATTATAAAGATGAGAAATAACTCCATTAATTTTATGACACAGAATGCTCAAACTTTCCTTATAGGATCGACAAGTAATTTTCTGACACTCAGTGCCCACTGGAAACCCAGCCATCTGGAAGTTCATTTTCTCTTTCACTAATAGAAGGTTGGAAATACTAATTATCCAACTATGTGGGGTTTCCCCAGTTAATGTCACACCTTCTCTGAGTAGGGGTGATAGAGACCCATGTCTGGTGTACCATGGATGGAACAGACTCAGACCTGGATACAGGGACCTCAGTGCCAAATAGGGGATGATATTCCACAGTGTGTATACTATGTGAGACTGGCTTTGAGCAAGGCATCAGGGCTTCCCAGCTAGAAGCAGAGAGGCCTTGGCAATGGGCGGGTAGGAGGGGTAGAATCCTCTTCTCTAAAATCTAGTAGCCTAGTTGTCACACTTTTCTTTCTTATTATTCACTGAATATTTTCTTTCCAATTATCCACTGAATATTTTCTTTCCATAAAAATGACTTTAATTTTCCTGCCCTCATCTGACCCTGTTCGCACTGGCCTTTCTGAGTCTAGTCTGGGTTTTTCTACCTACCCTGCAGCTTCAGTAGCTGGCTAGCTTCCCATGAACTTGGCTTGGGGCCCAGAACCCTGTCTTCCTCTCTCCCAGCCCAATATTCTAGGCATGGTTTCACCTCAATTGGCAGGTCATCTCCTGAGGGATTCAGTCTTGGAGGCCTCTCCACCACAGGGCACCATTCTCCAGAGACATATGTGTCTCTTGCCCCTCTGGGATCTTCCTAGCTGCAGACTTTGGAGCAAAATTCAGTTTAGTTCTCCCTGGTGATCCAAGCAGGTACATGTCCAGGGTTTCCTCTTACGGTAGAAATTTGGTTAAGAACAAGAAGCTCTCTTCCTACTCCCTATATCCCAAGCTACAGCAGACTTCTTCTAAATCTTTGGGTGGATTCTAAGATGTTAACTTGAAGGAAACACAGCTAGCAACCTCAAAAGGCATTCCTGGCTACTCTTGGCCCTCAATGTGGTAGAAATGCTAATGTTCTCTGTCAGATCACAGTCCCTGTCCCTGAACACCAGAACTGATGACCTGCCTCTTTGGGGTTCTGCTGACTTTTAGTTACTAGGGCTTCCTGAATATTCATTCTTCTAATGATCTGCTCTATACAGGGTAGCCCAGCCAAACCAACACATTAGTTCTTTCGTGGCTACCTTCCATTCCCGTAAGTTGTAGACTCCATTTTTGGGGCAACCAATTTAAATCTTTCTGCCCCCCCCCCCAAAAAAAAGCTACAAACTCACTATGCAAAAGCTCTCTTGGTATCCTGTTCCCCTGGAAGAATTGTTAATGTCCCTTAGATGTAACCATCTCTGTATCAAGGACGTTAAATGGATTCCAGAACATCTCATACTAAAGGCCATGGAATTTAGTAGGATCGAGCAAATCTTAGAAAAGTTGGCTGAGAAGCAGAGGCTCAGGCGATTCCCTTGACCTCAGCCCATGGAGAGATGTGGGACTAGTGACTTCTTCCCTAGCCTGGGTGGGGCCTCATATTTCCAAGATTCCAGTGTAGTGAATACCTGTTGTGTCTATGACCTTGAAGCACCACCCATAGAGATGTAGCAGGTAACTGTCCTACCTACCTATGACCTTGAAGTACCTGCCCATGGGGCATGGCTCAGGGCTACCCTTAAGACCTCAGATGCTAGTAGGCTGATCTCTTCTCTCCCTTGTGGGTTTGGATGCTGAGACAGACCAGGCAGAAGAACAGTGTGGGACTGTAACTCAGCCTTCCAGGACCCTACAATAAATCTCCTGTGCTGTGGTAAGTTTTCTTCCTGAATAAATTTCTTTACCCTTTGAGTAGACTCTGTGGATTTCTCACATTATCCCAGAGACTAGATGTTAGCATTCAAACCCACTTCTTTGAATCATGTCCAATAAGCAGATAATACCCTGGGCTGCCCAGTGTCCTGACATCATACTACGTTCTTATTCCCTTTAATAAAGCATGGGACTGGACTAGGACCTCTGCATAGTGAGACAATTGTGTAACATGATCTGCTTGGGTGGCCCACTGGCTAGAATCAGAGTCCATCCCTGGTGCATGAGCAGGCCTTTTGGAGCCCACTTCTATGATGGGACACCTCATAGCCTTGGGGCAGGGGGAGGGGCTTGGACCTGCCTCTACTAAATGTACTTCCCCATGGGAGGCCTTACCTCCTTGTAGGAGGGAATGGGGGGTGGGTTGGGAGGGGAGGCTGGGTGTGTGGGAGGAGGGAAGAGAGGGATCTTTAGTTTGTAAAATGAATAAAAAATTTTTTCGTAATAAAAATAAAACAAAATAAAAAAACATTTAAAAAATAAACACACACACAAAAAGGACTCTTCTTTGCTCTCTCTCTCTTCCCCACTCTTGCCAAGAGGTAGCATGGACCTCTCCCTCTCCCTATTCCCTCTTTCCCTCTCCCCTCTTTTCCCCCCACCAAATAAAACTGTCCACTGAGTGCTGTCTGCATGGCATCTCTGTGTCTCTGTCTCTCACCCACTGTGGGTACCTTGGCTCCACCTGCCAAAGTCTCTCTCTGTATCACAACATTGGTGCTACATGACTCACTCAGCAGAGGCCCTCCTGGTGCATTTCTCCTGCCTGCTGGCAGTCTGAGACATGCTAGGAGCCCTGGAACCTTCAGCATTCACTTCATCCAACACCGACATAATCGGTAATCCCCACTTCTGGCCATTTCCCATGAGTAAGGATTCGTCTTTTCTTGACCGTGGTGTTAGTTCCATTCATAAGTCTCAATACCGAGATACCGAGACTTATGTCTCTGCCCTTTGGCCCCTGTTCTCGGTTCACTGCTACAGCCTGTGCTGTCTCATCTCTTGGACCTCAGCATCCTTCCTGTCCCTGCTCTGTCTTTGACAAATCGCTCAGCAGCCTGCATCCTCTGCCTCACCCATGGGAAATAAGTCAGATCCAAGGATTCTTGGGTTATGCTCTCCTTTCCTCCCTCCTGCCCACCCAAGGCCCTGGCCATCTAGTGCAGGGGTGGGCCTCTCAGAGCTGAGTCCCCGCCCCCATCTGCTGAGTCCCCGCCCCCGACTGCCCACCCTCAGTGGCAGCCACTGCTACAGCTTAATGCCTCCCTTATCTTCTGTTCCTTCCTGGCTTTTTCCCCCTTTGCTGTCTCTCAGTCTATGCCTCCAGTCCGATAAATTCTTATCTCTGGATTTTTAAGTTGGTCACCTGACATTTTCTGGGAAGTTTTGTCTATCATTCTGTTAAAAAAGTTTATTTTGCATGTGTGAATGGAAATGTATGACTGACGTGGCCACATGACTGCGTTTCTGACTGATATTTGAATGTTCTGTTTGTCTTGTTGAAAAAAAAACAAAAAAACAAAAAACAAAAACAACTCATATGACTTCCTGGTCAGGCACCATCTTGACTAAAGTCAAAGACAGACAGGTCACATGGTCTCACCATCTTTACTAAGAGCATTGGGAAGTCACTTCCTGTCCACAGCTCAAGCATGGGCAGGGCACCTACTGCCTGGGCCATGAAAGCTCAAGGCCCCTGCAGGATCTGGTCTCGGCCTGGCGCTCCTCCGTGTGCTCATTAGGGGAGGGGGCCCTGGAGACCCTGACAGGCCTTGAGCACAGGCTTGCCTCCCAGACATTGGCTGCTGTGAAGATTCTTGAGTGGGGAGTCCTGCGCCTCCTCGCCAATACCATCCTCTCCCCCCGCTCTCAGACATCACCAGCTGGCATTTCCCTGTGGATGGCACAGCACACACCAATGACCCCGAGTACTCTCCTTCCAAGCTCAGAGTTGAGGTATGCACACGCCCATCCCCTCCCATGTGAGTGGTGGGATCAGAATTTCAGGGCCTAGGCAAGGCCTTAAGAGAGCAATGCTGTTTTTGTGTTAACTGCTCAGGGGGTCATTAAAAACTCCAGGGCCCTGCTGAAAAAGCAGATCCATGGCAAAAAGGCAGCAGCAACAAGGAAACCACCCTGATGTCTGCCTTAGCTAGCCCCTTAATGATCTTGCTTCTTTTTACAGGGCTAGCCTAGGACCACCTGTATGACAGGTGTTTACATTGAGATTCATAACAGTGACAAAACTACAAAAATGTCTCTCCTTATCTAAGGTCTTTTCAGGCTAACAAAGACCAATTTATGCCTAATCTTCCCACTTTTACTTACATATTGGTTAAGTTTTAAAGGGGCTGAGGAGGGTCCCCAACCCCCCTACAGGAATTGGTGAAAATGGCTTTTTTTTAATACCTGAAAAAAGATAACTGAGCCTTCCTGATGGACCCAGCTGCAACAGAAGGCTACACTCCAAGCCCACACCTTGGCAGTTGCCCTGAGGCTACCCCAAAACACACGAGGGACAAGGGAAGTCAACCATGAGGCTCCATCCTGCCGGAGCTCAGCCCAAGTCAACTCTGCCAGGAGCCTGCATCAAATGCATCCTGGGTATACTGTTCATGGTATTTCCCTGACCCTCAGGCACCCATGAAGCCATGCCCTGCGTGCCGACAGCCTGGACACTGGAGATCGGAATGCCCTGTGTGGGCTCATCCTCTACGCCACATCACCGAGGTCCAGCCTTGCCAACACCGGCATCTGACTTCCGGCCTCTGAACTCCTAAGCCTGGCAGAAGACTGTCTGGAACCTAAACTTGGTGACTCCCATTTCCTCTCCAAGCCTGGGGTGGCACTGCCAGTAGTGGGTAAGTCCATTGACGTTCTGCTGGACTTGGGAGCTACCTACTCTCTTCTAACCTCTTCCTCGGGGCTCACAGTTCCCTTGCCAATTCCTGTCACAGGGGTGGATGGGACCCCCTCCTTCCCATTTAAGAGAATCCTGGGATGGCCTAAGTAGTTGGAAAGCTGTCTCAGCTCTGTTCAATTATTCCTCCTTCTCAGATCTGATGGTGTTTGATGACCAGCATTTGCCAATCGTACAGCTCTCCCCCAACCCTTGGCAGCTCATTAATAAGTTTCCTGTCAAAAGTATAGGCAGGTGTGCCTCATTCACAGACTCCATGGTACAGGATAAAGCTGGTTTCAGATATAACTTCAGAGGTTCAAAATTTTAACATTGATAAATGCAGTTTTGATAAACTGATAGAGCACTGATTACAAACAGTTTTTAAAAGTCCTTAAATTTCTGTGGATTTTACCAGTCCCAGCTTTTAGTAGCATTGGAAAGAGCAGGGAAGCCTCCTTCTTCCTCCTTTACTCACTCAACCACTTCCATTCAGTACATTTCCTCTGGTTATATATTTAAAAATATATTTCACTGGGCTGAAACCAGGCCCTAGAGAATGTTCATGCCTTTTAACTCAAAGCCATAGCTTTTGCTATGACACCAAGATGTAAATCTATTCCAGTTGCTTTACAGACCCTTACAGGTCACTGCACAGATCCACCCCTCCTGCAAGCCCGGTGCCAAGGCCAATCCGCAGGGAGTCCTTCAGATATGTTAGCCCCTGCACCAGTTCCAAGCTTGCCAACCACCAACCAAGGATGCCAACTGGGTCAATACTGGCAGGTTGATTTTTACCCACATCCCCACTTAAAATAGGCTCTATATCTCATAACTCTTACTAACACCATTACAGGATGGATGCGCACCCACCTCCAGAGAAACAGCAGATGTGATAGCTCATGTACTCCTGAAGAATACATCATCCCTCAATTCACTGCTGGTAATATCTCTCCAGGCTCAAGCGAGCACCTACATGGCAACTGGAACCTGGTTTTCCAAGATGTCCTAATGAAGGGTATATCTGCTCTCATGTCTTGCTCATTTACCCTTGCCTCTTCCTTACAACCAGGGCACTTCCCTGTTCCATTCTTTCTGACAGTTATCACTTTTTCCATGGCTAGCCCTGATAGCCCATGATAATAATCTATTTTTTTTTTCTCCTAGCAACCTGCCTTCTCAACTCTGTCAAAGAACAGATGCCTGAGGACTCCACGATGACAGCCAACTGAATGCCTCTTCGCTCACACTTCCCACCATGCGTGACCCTGACTCCCAACTTCCCCCTCCCACTTCGCTCCTTGTCGGCAGGAAGCAGTCTGGAGAATTCAGCGCCCTTATTTCCCCCACTTGCTATCCATAACTCAGCTTTTTATAATAATCAAAAAGGGAGGAATGTTAGCATTCAGATCCACTTCTTGGAATCCTGTCCAATAAGCAGATAATACCCTGGCCCACCCAGCATCCTGATGTCATCCTACATTCCTATTCCCTTTAAGAAAGGATTCTTCTCCTTTGGCTTTCTCTCTCTTTCTCTTCTTGCCACAAGGTAGCATGCAACTTCCCCCTCCATTCTCTCTCTCCTCCTATCTCTCTCTTTACCTCCCCCTCTCTCTTCACCCCACCAAATAAAACTCTCCACTGAGTGCTGTCTGTATGCATCTCTGTTTCTTACCCACTGTAAGGCACCTTGGCTCCACCCACCAAGGCCTCTTTCTTGCTGTATCACAACACTGGACACTTTGTGGGTCCAATAAGTATCCCTGGACAGTGGACACCTCAAATCAAATTACTCAGGCCCAAGCAATGTAGGTAACATCTGCTTCTTATGGTGGCTCTGTAAAATGACCAGTGGCAGGAAGAAATTCTAGTGTAGATGTGCTGTGTGACTATAGGCAACAAAGGCTCAGGCACTATTTTTCCAGGCTGGCTGTAGCTTTTATGACTTTTCTCTTTACCACAAAACTGGCTGCTTATAACTGCCACAAAACTCTGCAGTGTGAGCAATGCTTGAAAGCTGGAGTTACAACCATAAAGCAGTCATCTTATGGAGCAGTAGCCTCGGATCAAGTATGTAGAAGAGGCAGCTTTGACCATCCACTCTTCTTCCCCCGTTGTCTGCTTTGCTCACATAATTGTCTCCCTTGGCAATGAATGCTTTTACAGCAGCCTGGGGATGGAGGAGGCAGAGTTGTCATAGACAAATTTAACAGTTTGTTACTCTCAAGATTCCTCTCTACATCCAATTAAGGACAGCCAACACAGGGCAGATTCCTATTATCCTGCCTCCAGCAGGACATGACAGTAGGAAAAATAGGAAGCCCTGAGGTCCTGAGAACTCCATGACTCTCTGGGGGCCTGCCTTCTGGATGCTCTGGGGTTTCTATATCCCCAGCAATGCTACAAGAGTTGGGTTGGGGAGCTATTGCTTTTGCCAGGTAGACATGGGTTGGTGAACAGAGGTGCTCTGAGCATAGTATGCACAGGTTGAGCGGCAGATGAGGATTCATCCCTCCTCATCTAGCCTTTATCCATCTATATTCAGGAGCCTCTTAGGCTCTGATCACCCCTCCCTGCCCTAAAGCCACTGACTGGGCTAGAAACCTAAAATGATGAGGTATCTGCTTCCACTTAGAATGCACAGCACTCACCCTGGAAGTGACTATAACCTTGGATCAGTTGCTGGAGATGGCTGTTTATAGATACATAATGCCTTTTCTAGGGAACATAGATCTGAATGAATACACAGCCACAGAGAAGGGGGGTGTGGATATAGAAATAAGTTAGCTCACAGTAGGCAGTAAGAGGAAAAGAGACCATAGTAAAAACTGTAAGTTATCTACACATGCTTCTCTGGAAATGGATATCAAGGGGAAAGGAAATATAAGGCTTAAAACAGCTAAGCTGTGGAGCTGCCAGAAAGTTGGTCAGGGAGCTCCAAGGATGGCTCCAGCCAGCCAGGCATGTGTAGCATGAATCTTAAAAGGTCTTATTAATAAAAAGAAAACCCAGAAGCTAGGTATTGGGGTTAAAGGTCAGAGAAGCAGAACAAGCCACAGCTAACCTCATCTTGCCAACTTCTCAGCTGATCTTGTTTCCTCAAACTGGAAGCCTCTGAGTCCTCATCTGAATGTATCTCAGCTGAACTGCTACTCAAAAGCCTAAAAGTTTAACAAGACCTAGTTCCTGGTCCTCACACCTTATATACCTTTCTGCTTCCAGCCATCACTTTGTGGGATTAAAGGCGTATGTCACCATGCCTGGCTGTTTCCAGTATGGCTTTGAACTCACAGAGATCCAGATGGATCTCTGCCTACAGAATGCTAGGATTAAAGGCCTGTGCTACCACTGCCTAACCTCTATGTTTAATATAGTGGCTGGTATTTTCTCTGACCCCCAGATAAGTTTATTGGGGTGCACAATATATCAACCACAGACATGGAGAAAGCAGGAAAAGTAGGACCTACATAATGAAAGGTAGATAAAAAGCCTTGAGACAAAATGTAGATAAAGAGAAACATGTTAATATAAATAGTAAGAGTTAGTGGGACAAACCTAAACCAAGGCCAAGCATTTATAACTAATAATAAATGTCCGTGTCATGATTTGGGGGGCTGGTGGTCTAAGAAAGGCCTGCTACAGTTACCTGTTCCTTTAGATGGGACACCATTTCCTGCTCCCAACTGTGATCTTGATATTGACACCAAGGATGCTAACACTAAGATTTGCAGCCGCATGATTTCTCCCATATCCAGCTCCACTCTGAGCCACATGCCTAATCTCTGTAGCTTTTGAGTTTACAAAAGTTTCCTTGATTCTAGAAGTAATGGGGAGACGTGAATAATTTATTCTGCAGTTTCTGGGCCTTTGCCAGTGAGGTCTTTCTGTCAGGGGTACTCATCTTTTTCTTTACATAGCCACTGCTTGGGCAACCACCTTTGGCCTTTCATAATTTAGTGTTTTAATGTTGGAGTGAATACTCTCCCTGAGTTTGCTCAGCTGTTGGGAAGCTGAGCAGGCCATTCTGTGCTATCATTTCTTCTTTTCTCTTCCACAAGGCTAGAGTAATTTTAAGGTAAGGATATGCTGGGCTCGCTTTAAGTCTAGCGGTGAGGAAACCACCCCAGGTGAACTCTAAGGTGCCTGTTTATGCACATTCTTCATTCTAAATGGTTCCTGTGTTTTTGAAGAATGCTTTAAAAAAGGTAATAAAATAGTATGTGGGAGGAACTGTATGTGGCTCACACAGCCTAAAATGTTCACTATCTAGATCTTCACAGATAAAGGATCGTTGATCTGTGCTCTACCATCTGGCACAGAAAAATAATTGGGTGTGAAAGACATAAACATCTATTGCCTTGGGTTGCATTCTGACCAATACACCTGTCCTGTAGAGTCCAAATTCAGTGGGAATATAAAGCTTACCAGTTTGTGATGATTTAACCCAATCTTACACGATTCCCATGAGAATATGCACAGCACCACTCCCATAATGCTTCAGTGCGACTTTATTTTTTTCCTCTATTTTCAGACACTCAGACCTTCGCATTTGGTTCTAGGCACAAGTTCATTGCACATTCCACAGGACCATGAACTTTACATTCCCTCTACTGAGAGCACTTTTTCTTGATTCTTGAACAGCTAGTTTCTTCAATGTTCAGGTTACAATGCAAACTTTGGTCTTTAGAGGGAGGCCTCCCTCCTCCATTACATCACCCCTGTTTTATCATCCTCATAGAATAAGTTCATTTTGAAACTTTCTTATCTCCTTGTTTACTTATGAATGGTCTATCTTTCCATAGAGAATGTAAGCTCTTGGAAAGTAGGCACATGTCTTTCCTTATTTATAATGTTCAACTCTTAGAACCGTGTTTGGCATATGGCAGATTCTCAAATCATATTTTGAATAAGTGTGAAACAGTGAAATAAGCACAAAGAAATGGTGGCAAATATTCTTGTTTGCTTTCTTTCTGCACAACTATTCAATTCAACAACTAAACCTATGAGTCAAGCCTCTGACTTGAGTCAAAAGGAAAATGTAATGCTGGAGTTGAGAGAAACAAGACCCTCACTGTGTAATAATGAATATGTGACTAGTAAATACAAACAGTTTTTAATATATCATTCTGCAGAAAGGGACGCCAGCATAGAGAAAGAACAAAAATGGCTGGCATGGCATTTTGGCAAGAAATTTTCTGATAGCAAGAAATTCCTTCCTCCCCCTCTTTCCTATAGACTTCAGAGAGTTACAACCTTTGTGCTCTTCTACCATGTTCCTCCCTGCACCCCAAATTCCTCATCCCACTAGTTCAGAGGATAGCCTAGGCTTCGATTATTCTCTGTGCTATTCATGGACTCAGTCACAGAGTACCTGAAGCTTTTTACCTCCCAGTGTCCTGAGACAAGTTGGTGCCTGCTGCCAGCTATAGGAGGGATAAGCCTAGCTCCTCTTGTTTATCTGTGACCCTTTGGTGAGCTATACACACACCTCATTCTGAAAATGAACCGTAATGATTTATTTTTACAGGCTAGAATATTTTGCCAGTATCCCTTAGCTGGCAAGTGAGTTTACAACAGAAAGGGTAACAATGGGTATACTTCCTGCTCCCTATTAACTTCCCTACCTCCTACTGGAATCAGAACTTCAGGCTTGTACTGAGAATACTCCCCCTCCCCAGAAAGACATAAAGATAGACCTCCATGTCTGTCACTCAGAATCTGATTGTTCTACAAAGAGCCTCAACCACAGCCATCTGTCTCTGGTGCTGGGGCTATTGCCTCTCTCTGCCTATAATCTTAATAACCTTTCTACTAAACTCACTATACTCCAGTAATCTGTCTCAGTATCTATCTTGAATTATGCCCCCACAACAAAACAAAACAACACAAAACACAAAAATGACAGCCTTTCACCTCTGACTCAAGGGAAAAGAAATCTTTAAGTGGTCAAAGTCCATTGTGATAAAAATGGGCTGTTTGAGGTGTGAAATGTCACTGGGGAAAAGACACTTTTGAGAATAAGCCACCACATACTGATGTGAGAACAAGGTGTCTCACTGAGGAGAACAAGGTGAAATCCCCGGGAACCTGGGTCAAAGAGTAGCAGCAATGAATCCTGGGAATGTGGCAGCAGGAGGGGAGGGGATGGGGTGGAGGGTGTTTGGCAGGGGTGGTGTGGTTGAATGAATAGCTGCTCTGGCTGGTTTGTTATCATCAGAAACAGCAAAACCACCATCAGACAAACAATTTTAAGAGAGGCACAAAGGAGCCAGGCTGTTTCTTGTATGCAAAGGTTTGATGGACTTGAAGACCTCTCAAGGGGAGGGTGTGGACCCTTTTGACTACTGACTCAGCTCACTCAAAGGCTGAGTCTGATTTAAACCCCGAGTTCCTTTAGTTGAGATATGAAGGAGATTTAATTCTTCATAACTGAGAGCTACTGTTCTCCAAGAACAAATTTCTGAGCAAAACAATTTTTCCAACAAAAAAACAAAAACTGAGGATGGATTAGAACATACAGAATCTGATTCCAAGGAATATCTGTGGGTAGTTGATATTAATTAATTGCCTCTGGGATGTATAGTGACAGAGGAGGCTCTAGAAAATATACTATTGTCCCTTCCCCTTTTAGCTCATTTTTGCCATGGCTTCTATCTGTCTTATATAAGCTTTAATACATCAGCAATTGTTCTCTGGAGCACTTAGCTAAAAGTTTGCCCACTCAGCATGGAACCTGGTGGCAGAGAGAAACATTAACCTTTCTTGATGTAGTCATGGGATTTGATATAATGATATGTTGCCCTCAGATACCCAAATGCCAAGCAATATTTTGTGAGTTGAAACTGAACAAGAATCGGATGGCAGCTGTAAGCATATCTTTCAATCAGGGCAGGCACCGAAGTGGCACCTATACTGTCATTATAGGCAAGGTGTTGGAGGCCATAACCTTTGAGCAGCTGACACGAATGTTACCAGGACCATTCCTGTCACACATGACTTAAAAACATCAGCTGTGTGCTCAGTGATAATCAGTCTGTTTCCTCTTAGATTACAGGAGCCATTCATTCTTTCAATTTTTCTATGGTTCAATATGTCAAAATTCTGTGTTTATTAAAAATTATGTAGAGATAAAAGCAAGAAGAATCCATGCAAGTTCAAGGCTGGCTTAGTCTCTAGAAGGTGTTTCAGGCTAGCCTAGGATAGAGTTAGATTGAATATTGATTAACCAAAAGAAAATTCATGAACTAGAAAAAAATAATTACAAGTGGAAAGGTGAGCTATCAGATAATATAAGTAGCATAATTCCAAAATCAAAAAAATTACAGAGAGGTAAACAGACTGATAATCAGATGTAAATTCTAGGTTGTAAAATGAATAACACATACATGTAAAAATGAATGAATATGAAAATAGATTACTGTAAATAAAGTGTGTAAAACTGAATGATTTCATCCTAATGTATCTTTGAGTTTTGATAATGTATTGTACTTGCCAAAAGGTTACCAATAAAGGAAGCCAGGTGGTGGCCCAAGTACCCTTTCTGTATTATTGATGCTTGCTTAGGGTGGAGGAAATACAAAATGGGTACTAAAGAAGGTAGTTATAAATACCAGCTAAGGCCAAGTGTGACCAGTTGCAAAATCAGGGACTATAACTGACCTGAGTGTTTCTGTCCTACTTTGTTAAGAATGTGTTTGTGCATATATACACATACATTAATCAATACTTGTGTTTCCTTTCCTCTATTTCTTTATCATGTAATAGAACATCAATTGAGATAATATCAATAGTTATCACATTTAAACTATGAGACACTAAAAGAATGACCCTCAAGGGACATTGCTACCTATTCTAAAATACATAACGTGTTTGAGGTTGTTTATGGGGTTGTTATATCATGTTAGGTAGGATTGTGACCTTGGCTATTTTTTTTCATTTGTAAGTAAAGTATGACACAAATAGATGCGGCTGTGTGTCAAGTTGACAAAGGTTGCATTTGTGATGGTTA